TGTGTGTCTGTGTGTGTCTGTCTGTGTGTCTGTGTGTCTGTGTCTGTGTCTGTGTGTGTATATATATATATATATATGTACACACACACACACACACACACACAGACATTCATTTACCATGATATTAACATGGCATTTCAATATAGGCCTACATGTAAATAAATACCACACAACTTTCGACGTGTATATACATAATAAAAATAGCATTCTATTTATATTTTATGTTTGATATAAAATATTTATATTTTGATATATATTTTTTAAATATGTTATGTACTGTTTTATATAATTTTAAAATGTTAATTCATATAGTTTTATTATTTGTAGTTTGAAAATAGATTTTTTTTTTGTTATTTAACATCAAATTGTATTTTATTTTTAGGTTCAATGAAAATATATTAAATATATTATTCTTACTTTATTATTATTATTGTTATTATATCATATGTTATTTTAAAGCTTGTTTTGTTATTTTATAATATAAAAGAGTATATTTGCATTTTTTGGTTAAAATATTTTTCTGTAGGCCTTTATATAATATTCATAATTGCTTCTGTACATAAAGTTTTGATTTTTAAAAATAATTTTAGTATTGTCTGTCATTTTGATAATTATTTAAGGTGTACTTTTTATAATAAATATGTTTAGATTTTTATTTTTTTTTATATATATTAGATTAAAAAAGTTTTATGTTACGTTAGTGTTTGTAGTTTATTAGTTTAATATGTATTTATTTATTTATCATTTTAAGTAGTGGGCTCATTGGGGTCATGACAATTCATATTTACTCATAATAATAATAATAATGTTATCTTTAACTCAGCTGTTTATAATTTCTTACAATAAAAAGTTTCAATGTGAGATTTTGTTTAAGATCATAAGCATGCATTTCTAACTCAGATGTTTACTGTGAAAGCTGCTGTATAATATCATATCGGTTATCGGCATTATCATAAAAAATAAATATTGCTCCGATTTTTCTTATTCCTTTTTTTGGCATGTTTACAGGACGGATGTGCATGTGCTAATAGTGTTGTGATCTGTCTGCAGACGCCTGTTTCTCTGTCTGAAGATGCGGGTTTGTTTGAGGAGGGTCTGTTTGAGCCGGAGAGATCCGCTGCAGTGCTGAAGGTGTCCGTCTCCGTTCCTCGTGATTTGGTGGTTGATCCGGGTTGATGAGAGGTTCACTGACGTGTGTTTGTCTCTAGGGTCCAGAGGCGGTCTGTGACGCGGCTCCAGCTGAAGTGTGTCTGGAGTTCCCTGCCGATTGGTCTCTGAAAACGCGTCTGTTGTTCACGTCGTCTCAGTCGTTCTCGTGGGCCGAGCATCTGAAGGCGCAGGAGGAGGCGCAGGGCTTGAGCTCGCACTGCAGGGCCGAGTTCTCCAGCTTACCTGCTCATATACAGGTGAGGACACAGTTATAGGGAAGGGTATTTTCTGCAGATAATCTCAAACTACTAGTAGAGGTCAGCCTACCGGTAACGATTAACCGCGAGCCGGTTGAAAATCGATTCAAATATGTGGCGATTCAAATCGGTTGAGATGCTAAACAAATCGCGATTCATTTAGGGGTAGGAGTTTATGTGAATGTATGTCTGAGGGGAACTGACTGTCTTTAGAAAAGTTTAGATGGTATTTTTTCTTTTCATCTTGCCTCTGTATAATGCATATTAAAGTTCATAAGTGCTGCTTTGTTTACAGCGGTAACCGAGGAAACGCTTTAAGCGCCACCTGCTGGCAGAGAGTGAATCTGCGTCTCGTTCAGCTCGTCTGCGGTTTCTGTTTCATGCAGATATTTTTTATGTATAGTTTCACAAATCTGAAGTCAAACCATTCTGTTTTTGGTTCAAGTTTCGAAATTAAACAATGAAATTTAGATTAAGAACTGCTCGTGTTGCATGTGTGCAGCATCTTTGTTTGGATCATGATTAAAATGCAGTGGTTGCCTTTAAATTTAAATGTAAAGCACAGACATAGCCTTATTTTGTTTATATGAAGAGATTTATTTTATTTGTTGTACTTATTTATGTGATTTGGGGCTTGTTTTAAAAATTCAATTTAGTTTTATTATTTACATTTACATTATATTAAATACAATTGTGTTTTTTAATCTCACAATTCAGACCTTTTCTTGCAGTTTATATCTTATTTGAGAGATATTTACATTTACATTTAGTCATTTAGCAGATGCTTTTATCCAAAACGACTTCCAAATGAGGACAACAGAAGCAATCAAAACCAACAAAAGAGCAATAATGTGCAAGTGCTATATTAGTATATTATTATAGTATTATATTTCAATTTCACAAAGAAACATGCAGCATTTTGTCCAATGCAATAATAAAAGGACACATTTATTTATAATTTCTTAAATCTCATTTTGTAAAAAAAATAAATAAATTGTGAATCGAATCGTGAGTTGAGTGAATCGTTACATCCCTAGTTTTCTCTCTGAGAAAAAAGCAAAGTGACTGCGAGTCGTCCGCCTTCACACTAAAGTTTACAGGTGCGCTGCGCATCCATAGAGATGAACTGAAAATATTACAGATCGCTTGACTGGGAGAGATTTCTGAAGCGCTCAGTCAGAGTGTTCGGAGAGTGAAAATATATCTGTGCTTAACTTATACTTGGCCTCCAACTCACACACTGGCAAGTCAAATCTGAGAATTTATTAGCCAGTGGCTAATATTAGACATCATTTAGTCGCCCAGAGTGAAGATTTAGAGAGTGTTGAAGTGCATAGTTAATATATTCCAATAGAATGCAATAATTCTGATGTATAAAGCTTGTGTTTAAGTGGTTGTGGTGTGTGTTGCAGGAGCCGCGGGGCTGTGTGGAGCTGCGCTGTGGCTTTCATCAGTGTCTTCAGTACTGGCAGCACCCGTCGCTACCCTGGCTCTCGCTCTTCCCGCGGATCGGCGCAGAGCGCAAGTTCTCTGGCAAGTGCGTGCCGTGGGCGCAGGACACAGCGCTGCAGCAGAGTCTGATGAGCGACTGGTACGAGTTTGTGAAGTTTCTGCCACATGCATGTAGGCACAGGCGATATCTTCTCGTTTGCGATAGGGATGCACGATATTATCGGACCGATATCGGAATCTGTCGATAATAGCTTTATCAGGGGCAGAAACACAAAACTCACACTCACACACACACACACACACACACACACACACGCACGTACACACACATACACGTACTAATAATAGGCCCAGACAATAGGAGAACAGAGTGAAGGTCCACAGGACCTAAAAAACCCGAACATCATGTATGTAATACAAGTGTGGGTGTACAGTGAGTGGTCATTGAAAATTTGTTCTGATATCTGTGACCCTGCAGCACAAAAGCAGTGTTAAGTCGCTGGGGGATATTTGTAGCAATAGCCAACAATATATTGTATGGGTCACAATTATACATTTCTCTTTTATGCCAAAAATCATTAGGATATTAAGTAAAGATCATGTTCCGTGAAGATATTTTGTAAATTTCCTACTGTAAATAATATATCAAAACTTAATTTTTGATTAGTAATATGCATTGCTAAGAACTTCATTTGAACAACTTTAAAGATGATTTTCTCAATATTTAGATTTTTTTGCACCCTCAGATTCCAGATTTTCAAATAGTTGTATCTCGACCAAATATTGTCCTATCCTAACAAAAAAAAAAAAAGACCCTTATGGTTGGTTTTGTGGTCCAGGGTCACATACGTTCTTCACAGAAAATGAGCCAAGGCCAATGAGTCTGAGTTGGAAATAATAATTAATATAGTTTTTCTTTTGATAAAAAGTGGAACCAGGTCCCACAGACCCGAACACCATACAAGGGTTAATCATAATTGTCGATTATTCCCTTGTAATTGTGATTATTAATTACGATTATCACAATTTATATTGAATGATGTTTATACCATTGTTTGATGCAACTGCATGCTGTATTGTTATATGAACATAAACAAGCTGAAAACACTCTAACTGAGAAACCTTTAGTGCTTTTCTATCGTATTAAGCCTCAAATGTCAAATACACATCGGGTTGGTTTCTTCTTTAAATTATAAAAAAAATAAAAATATGAATGTTATTATAATGTTATATTAAAATTAAAATAATGGGAAAAACCCTTAAGATAACATAGAAAGAAAAAAAACACATCTTAGGCACGCAGAATAACATAAGTGGACTTTGAATGATTAATTGCTGCTTTGAACGATTGTTATTGTGGCATCCATAATTGTAATCGCAATTAAAAATTTGATTAATTGTGCAGCCCTAGCTGGCATGTGTGTTTCTGACTGAGGCTTTGTGTGTGTTGTAGGTCTGTGAGTCTGACGTCTCTCTACAGTCTGCTTTTTTTTTTTTTTTTTCAGAAATTCTTTAAATTTTTCTGATAATCAAATGAAGGCATTAAACTTTTTATTTTATTTTATTTTTTTAATCGAATGAAAACTAAACCCCTTTATTTTTTGCCAAACAAACAGAGGTTTCCTGTTCAAATTAATGGATGGAAGAAAATTTGTGTGAATATTCCTTTAATGCATTTTTTTTTTAATAATAATTGAATTACAATTAAGTGGTTAACCTGGTTGTTGTAATTATTTTTATCATTCAATTGTTATTTCAATTTGCCAGAAAATTTAATATATAAAAATTTACATTATACTGTACAAAAGTAATACAAGAATAATATATCTCTGTTAAATATTGACCTGGACTTTTATTTTGACAGGTTGTGGTGAAGTTTCTGTGTGTGTACAGTATGATATGATGCTAGAGAATAATTTGAGAGTAATATCTCAAATAATTCTTCATTATTTGTACAGAATGATAATAATACATTGAACCTTATTTGAAAAATTTGAAATGGTTTTAAAGTGCCCCTATTATGGGTTATGAAAGGTTCATAGTTTGATTTTGGGAGACCACAACAACGTGTTGACATGCATGCAAGGTCAAAAAACACTTTCATTGTGTTATAATATGCATTTATTTTTACCTTACTTGCTCAATGACTCCCAAACAATTCGCCCAACGATTCATTGAACACTTTAATAAAACAAGAATGAATTAGTTTTTTGAATTTCAGTGATTTTAGCTGTGCTGAAGTCACTGTAATGCACAGCCTGGAGTGATGTTTTATTGTTTTCTGAAGTAGACTTGTGAGCAGCTGTGGATGCATGTTTGTGTTCAGGGATAGAGTTCTCTCTCCCTCTGCTGGAGGAGACGAGGAAGAGCAGCGCGCGCAGAGAGACTGAAGGCGAGGAGTCTGTGTGAGTACAGGACCGCTCTCCGCTGATGGGATGCGGATCTGCTTTCAGTGCTCATCAGTGCGGTCCTCATCTTTGCTTTGACAGATCAAGTGAGCACAGTGAAAACGAGGAGGAGGAGGAGGAGGATGATGAAGATGACGATGGTGGATTTTCCTGGCTGAAGGAGATGGGCGTCCAAGACAAGATCAAGAAACCAGATGCCATTTCTATCAAACTGTATCCTTTACAATCTGCATGTGTTTGTGCAGTGCTTTCTTTAGTTATGAAGTCTGACGTATCTAATTGTTTATATTTTTTAATTCGATTAAACAAAATTCTTAATTAAATTAAACAGGTTGTGGAGAAGTTTCTGTGGGTGTACAGTTTGATATGATGCCAGAGAATACTTTGAGTGTAATATCTCAAATAATTCTTCATTATTTGTACAGAATGATAATAATACATTGAACCTTATTTGAAAAATTTGAAATGGTTTTAAAGTGCCCCTATTATGGGTTATGAAAGGTTCATAGTTTGATTTTGGGAGACCACAACAACGTGTTGACATGCATGCAAGGTCAAAAAACACTTTCATTGTGTTATAATATGCATTTATTTTTACCTTACTTGCTCAATGACTCCCAAACAATTCGCCCAACGATTCATTGAACACTTTAATAAAACAAGAATGAATTAGTTTTTTGAATTTCAGTGATTTTAGCTGTGCTGAAGTCACTGTAATGCACAGCCTGGAGTGATGTTTTATTGTTTTCTGAAGTAGACTTGTGAGCAGCTGTGGATGCATGTTTGTGTTCAGGGATAGAGTTCTCTCTCCCTCTGCTGGAGGAGACGAGGAAGAGCAGAGCGCGCAGAGAGACTGAAGGCGAGGAGTCTGTGTGAGTACAGGACCGCTCTCCGCTGATGGGATGCGGATCTGCTTTCAGTGCTCATCAGTGCGGTCCTCATCTTTGCTTTGACAGATCAAGTGAGCACAGTGAAAACGAGGAGGAGGAGGAGGAGGATGAAGATGATGACGATGGTGGATTTTCCTGGCTGAAGGAGATGGGCGTCCAAGACAAGATCAAGAAACCAGATGCCATTTCTATCAAACTGTATCCTTTACAATCTGCATGTGTTTGTGCAGTGCTTTCTTTAGTTATGAAGTCTGACGTATCTAATTGTTTATATTTTTTAATTCGATTAAACAAAATTCTTAATTAAATTAATTTTGGTTAAAGATTATCATTTTTGTTTTTTGATTTGTTTTAATTTTTTTTTATGTGTAAATGTTTTTATTAATTTCATTTTGGTTTGATTTTTTAGTACTTAAAGTTAAGCTGAACAAAAACGTGATGTTTGAAGCTGAATTCAAATAAGTTAATGTTTAAATAAATTATTTTAGTTGACATTTATTTGACATTTTATTGGATTGTACTATTTTTAATGTAAAATTTTATTGGATTGTACTATTTTTCATGTAAATAGACAACAGTTTTATTCAGAGGTGTGTTTAACTGATATGTTTAAAAATAGATCACCTGAATGTATTTTAGAATTTTTGTCTAGTGTAGATCTGAAACTTCTATAATATAACTTTTTATTAATTGTATACCTTCTGAGATCGAAGTCGAGTAACAAATGTTTTTTTTGTTTGTTTTTTTTAATGGTGTTAGTTTTGGTATATTATAATACTTAAATTTTAGTTAAGTATTATAACCCTACATGGAACATGACATGTTTTTATATGTGAAACAGCCCAAAGCTCGTTCCTTAAGTCGTGCCGCAGTCGTAAGGAGCACAGAGAGGTGCGTTTGGACCACAGACCAGAGTCAGTGGTGTTGGTGGAGGGTTCGAACACCTTCACGCTGCTCAACTTCCTCATTAACTGTAAGAGTTTGGTGGCTGGAGCCGGTTCTCAGGCGGGGCTTCCTCCAACTCTACTGGCCCCTACAGCCTTCAGAGGGGCCACACTGCACACGCTCAAGGTACCAGGCCTCGTGTTTCACCTTCTAGATGTTCTAGATTTGTGGTGCTGTCACATTCTTAGCATTCAAAGGCGTTTATTTTTCCTTTATCACTGATTTAGACTAATGTTTTCACATACGTGACCCTGGACCACAAAACCAGTCATAAGGGTCAATTTTTCTAAATTTAGATTTATACATCATCTGAAAGCTGAATAAATAAGCTTTCCATTGATGTATGGTTTGTTAGGATAGGACAATATTTGGTCGAGATACAACTATTTGAAAATCTGGAATCTGAGGGTGCAAAAAAATCTAAATATTGAGAAAATCATCTTTAAAGTTGTTCAAATGAAGTTCTTAGCAATGCATATTACTAATCAAACATTAAGTTTTGATATATTTACGGTAGGAGATTTACAAAATATCTTCATGGAACATGATCTTTACTTAATATCCTAATGATTTTTGGCATAAAAGAGAAATGTATAATTGTGACCCATACAATGTATTGTTGGCTATTGCTACAAATATCCCCCAGCGACTTAACACTGCTCTTGTGCTGCAGGGACACAAATATATTTACTAAAATTGCTGTATTTTTATTTTATTGAATTTATTTGTATTTTTTTACTTTTATTTATATTTTATTTACTTTTGTATTTTATTACATTTAATTTTTATGTTTTATTTTTAATTTCTTTATTGCATTTTGTCTTTTTATTTATTGTACTTTAATTGTAATATTTTGTTTTTCACTTTTGCGTTATTTATTGTATTTAAATTTACTTTGTTGCATTGCATTGTATTGTATTTTTTTTTTCGTTTTAATTTTATTTGTCGTATTTTACTTTTATATCGTATTGTTTTTATTTTTAATTTTATTGTATTTTGTTTGATTCATATTTATTGCATTTTATTTTAATTTTTTAATTTTTACATTTATTGCATTTTACTTTTATATTGCATTGTTTTATTTTAAATATTTATTGCATTTTTTTCATTTCATTTTGAATTTTATGTTTTGTTGCATTTTTTTATTTTTTTATTTATTGCATTTCACTGTTACATTTTATTGTATTCTATATTTGTTTTTAGTTTTTTTTAGTTTTTATATTTATTGCATTTTATTATACTTTTTATCACTTTTAATTAACGTTTATTATATTGTTGTTTAATTATATTTAGTATATATATCTTTTTTTCCACCATCAGTATATTGAGGCATATTTATATATTTAATATATTTACTTTTTACCAGCACCAGTATATTGAGGCTATTACTGGACCCAGATTGCATCATGTATTTTTCTAATGAAAGCGATTTGTCTGTGTCGTCGTCTCTGCTGTGAATGAAAACGCTTCAGGCCCGGGCTGTGAATGTGAAGACTCGGGTGAGAATGGGCTATCAGGACGTGTGCAGTCTGGAGGTGACGGGACCCATCATGCCCCACACGCTCCACGCGCTGACGCAGCTCCTCAAACCCGCTCAGAAAGGAGAGTTTTCTGTGGGTCTCTACACCCACGAGCCCACGGCCGTCCTGAACGTGCCCCTCAGCCTGACCCCTGAACCTCAGCAGCTGGTGCGTTCAAACACACGACGAGGTGGAATTTGTGTTACATTCACACTGGAAAAGAAAGTTGTAGGATTTACTTTAAAACCATTCTTACTCAGAATTTGCTAGGAAATGTCACACGTAATTACAAAGAAACGGTAACTCACACATTGAATTCAATATGACATTTTGAAGTAGAAAAGCTGAAATCATGTTTTCTTGTAAAACATACACCAATGTTTTTATTTCTTCAAATAATAATTTTTTCAGTGTGCAAATGCATCCAGGGATTCCAAAACTTTTATTGTCAGGCATGCCTCTTATTTTCTTGAAATACCCCTGAAATTTTCAGATAATATTTCAATTAAGCAACACATTTGCATATTCACGGTTCTCTGATGTTGGTCACATGACATACTAGTAAAGAGATAAAATATATATATATATTTTTTTTTTAATAGTAAGTGGATTTATTTATTTATTTCTTATTTAGGGCTGGCAAAAAATTTAATTGTTACATATTTTGATTTGAACTGTTATTTTTATTATTTTAGTAATAGTAGTTTTTAAATTTAAAATGGTTTTAAAAAATGCTGTTTAAAGAACATAATTTAACATAGTAAATCATTTTTGTATTTATTGTTTTAATAAATTATAGTTTATATATTAAATAAATTATAATTTGAATTAATATATTATTATATAAATACATGTTTTTAGTTTTAGTTATATATAATTTTATTAATATTGCTGATTATAACTCTTTAATTATGAAAAAATATATATATTTTTGTTGCAAGTTAAAATGTACGGTAAAAATTATATGAATTATGAAAATTATAATAATTTATATTACACTAAATTATAATAGTAATATTTCTGTCAAAATTCCTTCACTTTCAAATGTCCAAACCCTACTCATGAAGCTTGTATCTTGGTGGAAATTGTGTTCCCAAACACACGTTAAACAGTTAATTCGTCAGTATTGCATGTTTTTGTTTTATTAAAGGGATAGTTCACCCAAAAATGAAAATGTGATGTTTATCTGCTTACCCCCGGGGCATCCAAGATGTAGGTGACTTTGTTTCTTCAGTAGAACACAAACGAAGATTTTTAACTCAAACCGTTGCAGTCTGTCAGTCATATAATGCAGGTGAATGGGAATCAATAAGTGCATTACCGCCACCTATCTCTCAAGTGGACCATTGACACTCCTAATTGAGATTGTAGATAGAGTGTCAATGGTACATTTGAGAGATAGGTGGCGGTAATGCACTTATAAGTCTGCGAGCCGCCGTAAAGCAAGACAAAGAATACGTTTCAGACACTGCGGTGAATCAGAGGTAAAAACCGATATAAATACTGTTCAGTTTCTTGCACAGACCGATCGTTTCGTGTCTTTACACATCAATGTATCGTCACGAGCCGCAGGCTTTAATTTGGTTTTGTTTGTGTATGTTTTATGACTCTCAAAGCCGTGATTCCCATTCACCTGCATTATATGACTGACAGACTGCAAAGGTGTGAGTTAAAAATCTTTGTTTGGGTTCTACTGAAGAAACAAAGTCACCTACATCTTGGAAGCCCTGGGAGTAAGCAGATAAACATCACATTTTCATTTTTGGGTTAACTATCCCTTTAATTTCTCTTTAGTCTGTGTAGTCAGAAGCGCTCATGCTCTGGTTTGGACTTTGGTTTCCAGGAGTCTGTGGTACGGGATCTGGGCCGATGTGGCCTCCAGCAGAGCTCCATTCAGCAGCTGGTGACGCCGAGCATGCTGGGAAAGAGTGCGCTCAGACAGCTGCACATGAGAGACTATTCGTACAGCTGGAAGTCCTGAGATCCGGCTCTGGGAGAACATTAATAGAGAGCTGACAAGCCCCGTCTATTCATATCTGTGGCTTCCTGTGACGCTTACTTACTCGCTTCTTCTTTATGGAGACTGGGCTTGAATATAGTGTAGCTTTTAGGAGTTTGGACGGTCTAACTTGTTGTTTTAAATCAGTTATATTTTTATGGGCTGCAATAATGTTTTAGACTGCATGTGTGATATACAGTTTAATTTTTAATCAGTGTCTCTGGGAAGTAACATGTAAAACTGTGTTAAAAGCTCTCATGATTATATTTTTGCCAGTGTATTTATCACACTTGTATGAATTTATTAAATGAATAAGTTGAAATATTTTCTGCTATGCGTTTCTCTTAATCTTGTCAAGGATGAGTGCAAAAAAAGCACAGAACAAACTTGTGTGAAACGAGCATTTCAATGTGTGTGGCGGGGAAATAATTTGAGGTAAATAGTTTGGTAATGATTACGGCTGAACTACATTTCATGTTAATTACATGGCTACTTTATAAATAAATGACATGAAATATTGATTTGAGTGTACATAATATTTTTATGTAAGAGTATGTATAGTGTTTATATAATTTGTTAATTCAGTTTATATATTAAAATGGTGTAACAGTTATATTTACTCAGGTAACTTGGATGGATGGATGGATGGATGGATGATATATGGATGGATAGATGGATGGATGATACATGGATGGATGGATATATAGATGGATGGATGGATCAATTAAACTTCGCAATCACAAAGATTAATCGCAACATATAATCATTGCAGTTAATAGTGTTCACCATATGTTTGATTATATGTAATTTGTAACTAACTGCATTATATTTCTGCCATAGTCACCACTAATAACCTACTCCTAAATATAATGTAGAAACTTCACATGTTCTGTAAAGCTGCTTTGCAACGATTTGTATCAAGAAAAGCGCTATACATATAAACTTGAATTGAATATCTTGTCTTATATGAAATATGTCTTATGTAATAGTCTATTAATGCATTAATTTCCTCAATTTTGTTTGCCTTTCCATCAAACTTGATTAACTAATATAAAATATATCTGATGCATACACTATCAGTCAACCTAAATGCTCAAATACAGGTTAAATCTCTAACTCTGATGAATAAAGTACATAACCAGTGTTGTAATTGTTAACTAAAATTTTAATTTAATTAAAAACATCTTACCTTGGCAAAAAAAAACTGATATAAATTGAATAATAAACTACATTAAATAAAATATAAATTAAAAATTTAAGTAATTAAATTAAGCTGAAGTACTAAAGCAGTAATCCCCGTGAAGCCGTGGTTTACAGTGCATTTATAACAGCTAAGGGGGGCGTTGTTAGGTTAATTCACTGTAAACCACGGCTTCACGGGGATTATTGCTTTTATAAACCGGTTATTCCATATACGTAGTAAGGTTTCACCAAATAAAACAGAGCAAATAAAGTGTAATGATATTAATAAAAACCAAACAATGTAGCTCCTCAGAAACAGTTGTGGTTGCAGCAAAGTGTAAACAACACACAAACGTAAACAAAGGTGTGTGTTACTTTGTAGAGTATTTTACAACCGCTTCGAACGCGGCTCAGCCAATCAGAATCAAGCACCGGAACTCTCCGCTTTATAAATAAAATGACTAAAACAAAAATGCAAGCTAAATAGATTTTTAAAAATACAAATAAAAAAATAAGCTAACTCAAAATAATAAATACTAATAGTGTATAAATACTAAAATACATTTTTTGAATCAATTAGCTTTAGACAAATTGGCTGCTTTGTGTCTAACAGTTATATATATATATATAATTTGGTAAAAAAAAGAAGTAATACAAACATTTTTTATAACTCAGAAGCTAGTTAACTGCAGCTGCATGAGATAATTCAGCTGCGGTGTCTGGAGTGTTTTGTGTGGCTCTGGTTTCAGGCTCAGGGTGACACACGTCAGCACGATTAAATAAAGCTTTCGAAGCGTTTGTGGGAGTCACGGAGGCGGATGATCCTTCTGCTGCTCAAAACACCGCTCACCACGTGCTCCACCTCAACAATATACCTGATCGTTCATATTGTTTAGAAGTACAGCATGCATTAGGTTTCAAATAATCGGGTTTTTTTTCATTATTTAATAGGTTTTCTGAGAGGAAATGCATATTCTTGGGACTACTTTCTTTTTTATTATAGCCCTCAAGGGTAAGTAATGAATTTCTTCTGTTTAGTGTATTTGCTGATATTAAAGGAATTCATGAAAATGTGTCAAATTTACTCACTGTCAGGCCATCCGAGATCAGGATGAGTTTGTGTCTTCATCAGGTTTGGAGGAATGTAGCATTGCATCAGTGTCTCAGCAATGGATGCTCTGCAGTGAATGGGTGCCGTCAGAATGAGAGCTGATTAAAAACATCAAAATAATCCACAGCACTCCAGTCCATCAGTTAACATCTGGAGAAGACAAAAGATGAAACAAATCCAGCATTAAGACATTTTTTTATAACTAAAATACATTGAGTCCATAATCCATAACTCTTCCTCCAGTGAAAAAGTGCATCTTCTGTTGTCTCTCGCATCAAAATCCAGCCACATATGTGTTTAGAGCTGTTTAAACGCTGCTTGATCTGTGCAGATTTCTCTCCTGATTCACACCAGAACACTTTATCACTGGAGGAAGCCTTATTATGGATTATGGACTCATATTTTAGTTTTTTTAAAAAGTCTTAATGCTGGATTTGTCTCAGCTTTTGTCTTCTCCAGATGTGAACTGATGGACTGGAGTGGTGTGGATTATTGTGATGTTTTTATCAGCTGTTTGGACTCTCATTCTGACGGCACCCATTCACTGCAGAGCATCCATTGCTGAGACACTGATGCAATGCTACATTTCTACAAACCTGATGAAGAAACAAACTCACCTACATTTTGGAAAGCAAATGTTCCTTGTAAAAGCTCTGGTTTGATGCATTTCCTCCTGCAGTCTGTCTAGGTGTCTACCTTCAGATGTCGGAGGTCCAGGCGTATGTTGGAGAAATTGTGATCTTGCCCTGCAGTGGTTCAGGGTTCCCTGTGGAGCAGCTGCACGTTCACTGGGAGGCGATGGGCAAAGACGTGATCTCTCTGCGAGGAGACATCATCACGGTCGGGAGAGGGTTCGAAGACCGGGTGAACTTCCTCAGAGATCCAGCAGAGTCTGAGGACTTTTCCCTCGTTCTGTCAGATGTGATGCCGAACGATGGAGAGATATACGAATGTCTCTGGGAGGGAACAAAACCCATTTGCTCTGTGCTACTACAAGTGTCCAGTAAGTACAGTAATGCTAGCTGACAAATAGTAGTTATAAATGTATACACTATAAAAAAAAAAGACATCTCAGGAAACAGCGCCTTAATTATTTAGACACTGAGGAACCATCATTATTATAGATTAGTGGTTAACAAATATGCTTTCATTGGCCGATTCTTACTATTACAATACCTGTGGTTCTTTAAATTATTTATCGTTACTATTCATATGTTTAACCCTACACTAGGGTTATTATAGTTATCCAAACTAAAAAAAAATTATTTTTAAATAAATTGTTATTTTTTTAAATAGACTAAAAAAAAAAGAACTAGAAATAAAATTTAAAAAATAATAATCTTTTAGTTGTCAAAACTACATTTCTCATTTAACTTGATGTACTAAAATAACTAAACCTGAAATAAAAGCTATATGGAGAAAACTAACAAAATTGACAAAATCACTATACATGTAACTAAATATATTTGTATTTAAATGTAACTAAAAATAAAAACTAATTCAAAATATTTAAAAAACTATAATATTATTTAAATGATACTAAAATAACTATATTATTTCAGAACTGACTTTATTTCTGTAAACTATAGATATTGTTAAGTTTTCTTTTGTCGTTACACTTCAGTTTATTAATAAATGTGTCTAAGTTCAGGATCCTGTTAGTTACATCAGAAATCTGTGGGGGACACAAATGGCTCAGTTTCCTGAGAATGACCCCCAAAAATGTAATTCTTAAAAATATAGGTCCCTCAATAAATTTGCAGTAAAGAACTTGTAATGAATAATTTTAATTGTACAGAGTTTTTGAACTGACTGTCTGGTTAAAATAAAATAATACAATTATGTAAATTAATAATAAAGAGTACATTGTGCAGTGATTGTTTGTGAACTGCTGTTTGGTATAAAAATTGATTTAATATTTAAAAATAAAACGTTCTGGGAAAAATATAGTAAACGTGTCTCATTTAAGAAATACAAAGATTTCACCAAAGTTTCTCTTTTGAAATCAGAACCTGATTTGAAATCTTTATTTTTAAGAAACGTCATAACATCAGTCTTCCTGTCGAATAAGCTTCAACAGGTAATTAAAAAAAAGTGGGTTACACTTTATTTCGATAGTCCACTTTAGACATTCTATTAACTACAAGTAACTTTGTAACTACATGTCAACTAATTCTCATTAATTTGCAGCTACATGTCTACTAACTCTCAGAGTAGACTTAGGGTAGGTTTAGGGTTAGTAGAATAAGTTGACAAAGAAAGTGTTAGAAGATATTAAGCAGAAAGTCTACTAACTGCTAATTGACATGTAGTTGCAAAGTTACTTACTGTTAATAGAATGTCTAAAGTGGACTATCGAAATAAAGTGTTACCAAAAAGTGTAATATAAAACTCTCTCTCGTGTTTCTGCAGCACCAGCGGCTTTCGCCGATCATGTTGAAGTGTTTGAAGGCGAGGATATCACTTTGGAGTGCTTTGGAAATATCCCTAAAAACAAACCATGGGACGACATTTACATCCAGTGGCTGAAGGATGAGAGAGAAATCCTGCGCTTGAGCTCTGGAGAGATGGACGTCAGCATTGATTACAGTGTCCTGAGGTTACCGGCCAAACACGACATCAGTCGCGGTCTCTTCTCGCTGAGCATCCCGTCAGTCAGTGTTTTCGACCGGGGCGTTTATCAGTGCCGTTACAAGAGCACCGACTACGAGGCGCCGCGGAGCGGATTCCCGAAGACACACACGCTCACGGTCCGGGGTAACGTTACGGAACGTCTTCAGTCTTAATCGTGATTAATCGCATCCTAAATAAAGCTTTAGTGTACATAATATATGTGTGTGTGTGTGTGTGTACTGTGTATATTTATTATGTATATATAAATACACACACATGCATGTATGTTTCAGAATTTTAATTTTTTATATTAAAGAGTTATATTTATATATAATATAAATTGTATGAATATAAATATATACATGTGCATATTTTCAAAATATATAGCGTGTGTATATTTATACATAGGTCTACATAATAAATATACAAAGTACACACATAGATATTATGTAAACAAAAACTTTTATTTTGGATTAATCGCGATTAATCGTTTTTGCAATTTATTTGATTTATTATTATTATTGATGATTAGTTTTGATGATTCTCTTGAAATTAAAAATATTTATGTCTGAAGTATGTCATTTCTGTTGGCTTTGCTATTGCAGGCAAGATATTTAAAGATAAAATACGTAATTTCTACTGGCCAAAACGCTTTCCGCCGCTCGTCAGCCATTGGTCGAAAATTGATAGCCACGCCCCCAACTCACGCTATTGGTCGAGCCAGTTGTTGTGTAGAATAAGACGGGTCGCTTAAAACAAACAAACAAAAGTGTGTTTCCCTCTGAATTCTAATTCCATTCACAAGTCAGTGTAGAAAGTATAGAATTATTTAAAATTATTCTATATGTCTCAATTATATCTAATTTTTATAATATTATTACTACAATATATTTTTATACCATATTACAGTAAAAATTGCAGTAAAACAATAGTCGTTTTTTTCAATAAATATAACATAAGGGCAGTACAACAAATATGATATGTACATATTAAATAATTTAAATATATTTTGTTTAACAGTAATGAAAATTAGTTAACTTTGGCATTGTGTTTTATTATTTTTATTAGACAATATTGTTTGTATATATTACATTATTTTTATGACAAACAGACACAATTTCCCTCTAAATGCTCATTAAATTCACAAGTTACAATTGTTTACATTTGTCATTTCTTATATATTTTTTAATATATGTATATATTTTTGTAATTTTTACAGCAGATCTCATTACTGTAATACATAATTTTTATACAAAAATTAAACCGTGATACAGCTGTTATGCATAAAACAGCATAAGACAGTACAACAAATGCAATATATGTATAATATTATATTTGTAGTATGTATTACATATTATTATTTATTGGTTTTAGTAACTTTATTCTGTTTCTCTCATTCAGCTCCACTTCTAGTGACGGATACGTCAGTCACGGAGACAGGCGCCGATTCTGGTCAGTATTTCGTTTCTGTTTGACTAATAAACAATGAGACAGATTTATGCATTCAGAGTCATTTATATTTTTTGTTCTCATTTATATATATATATATAATTATTTCAGCATGACATAGCATTATGGTAGTACAATACATTTCATATATACTTTTTGCATAATTCAAATGTGTGACCCTGGAGCACAAAACCAGCCATAAGGGTACATTTTTTTAAATAGAGATGTATACATCATCTGAAAGCTGAATAAATAAGCTTTGCATTGATGTATGGTTTGTTAGGATCGGACAATATTTGAAAATCTGGAATCTGAGGGTGCAAAAAAATCTAAATATTGAGAAAATCATCTTTAAAGTTGTTCAAATGAAGTTCTTAGCAATGCATATTACTAATCAAACATTAAGTTTTGATATATTTACGATAGGAGATTTACAAAATATCTTCATGGAACATGATCTCTATTTAATATCCTAATGATTTTTGGCATAAAAAAAGGATACTTTTTACCCATACAATGTATGTTTGTGTATTGCTACAAATATATTGTGTTACTTATGACTGGTTTTGTGCTTCAGGGTCACTTTTTTGTTTTTTTGCGTTATGTTAACGATAATTTGGAGGTAAAAGTGTTTAATTGTCATGAAAATAATAATTAAAATTTTTGAGACCTGGATGTCAATGTTGTCATGTAACTCTCTCTCTCTCTCGCTCTCTCTCGCTCATATTGTCAGCTGTGTCTTCAGAGGTGTGGAGCAGCACAGCGTCTCTCTCTCATACACACACGAGCAGTAGTGTGCCAGTTTGGGCTCAGACTGAAAGCAGCAGCTCTGTGCCAAGACTGACATATGCTGAGAGAGATGGAGGTACTGTACTACTGACACACACACACATACTCTCTCTCTCTCACACACACACACATATACACACACACACACACACACACGCACATACGCTCTCTCTCACACACACACACATCCTCTCTCTCTCACACACACACATACTCTCTCTCTCACACACACACACACACATACTCTTTCACACACACACACACACACACACTCTGTCAGCTGTATTTCTAGTGACGACAGACGCGTCAGTCACTGAGACAGACACTCATTCTGGTGAGCATAGGCATGTCACGCAGAGGCGGACAGTAGTGAAGTATCTTTACATTACTCAAGTCAATTGAAAAAGTACCTGTAGTTTATCAGTGTTTTTCTTTGGAAAGCTTTACTTCACTACATTCCAAAGCATAACGCCATCATTTTTACTGCACTACATTTCATAAATAAAAGTTGTTGTTTGTTTTACCTTTAATACTTTAAAAATGTAGTTCTTTCTTGTACTCAATTAAATCTTTGAATTACTTTTACTTGAATAATTTCTAATGTAATTAAGTATTAAATGATATTTAATATGAACCGTAGCGCAGTAAAAAGTACAATATTATGCTTTGAAGTAAAGAAAAGCACTGATAAAGTACAGACACTTGAAAAGTACTTTGAAAGCAGAGTAAAATGACTTCACTACTGTCCGCCTCTCTGCATGTGTGTGTTATCTAGGTATTGTATCTATATTCCAGTTATTATTATACACATTATTTAGTAGTTTTATTCATTTTTCTCTTTCAACTCTTCTTCTAGTGACGGCAGATACATCAGTCACAGAGACAGCCACCGATTCTGGTCAGAACTGAGTTTATTTCTATATATATTCTAATAATAAACACTGAGTCATTTATAAATGTAGTTTGTAAATGTTATTTAAGTATCACTGAGATGTTATTAAAGCTTTTATTCATATTTTGAATGCTTTTTTCCCATTTGAATTTTAGGTAAACTTTTATAAATTTTGTCTTGATTTTTTAAAAATAATTTAATTTATTATTATTATATATTATTATTTAGCAGTTTTATTTATTTTAGTCTCAGATTCTTTTTTTCTACTCCTAGTGATGACGGATATATCAGTCCCAGAGACAGGCATCGATTCTGGTTAGTATATGTATGTGTCATTATTGTTTGTATTATTATTATTATTTATTATTATATAAATCAGTTTTAGTCATTTTATTCTGAGTTTCTATTTTCTACTCTACTTCTAGTGATAACAGATTTATCAATTCCAGACACAGGCATGGATTCTGGTCAGAACTGAGTTTATTTCTGTTTGGCTGTAGTAATAGAAATAAACACTGAGACACATTTATGCATTCAGAGAGTCATTTATAAATGCAATTTGCATATCCCTGGGATGTTATTAAAGTTTTTATTAATATTTTAAATTGCCCCCCCCCCATTTCTATTTTAATTTTAGTTAGTGTTTTAATCATTTTGTCGTACTTTTTAATAGTTGAATTTATGCATTTAGTTTTATATATTATAATTTGGTAGTTTTATTAATTTTAGTCTGTTTTTCTCTTTCAACTCTATTTCCTGACAGATACGTTGTCAGTCACTGAGACAGACACTGATTCTGGTAAGAATTGAGTTTGTTTCTGTTTTACTATAATAATAATAATAAACACAACACATTTATGCATTTTAAGGAGTTATGTATAAATTATCAAGGTAGTTCATGCATAATGAACACACATTCCATGTCTGAAGTATATGATTATTTAGTATGAAGAACAGACCATTAAAGAGTGTGTGTTGTGTGTCTGTGCGTGCGTGTGGTGTGTGTGTGTGTGCGTGTGTGTGGTGTGTGTGTGGTGTGTGCGTGGTGTGAGTGTGGTGTGTGTGCGTGTGAGTGTGCGTGGTGTGCGTGTGAGTGTGTGTGGTGTGTGTGTGTGTGTGTGTGTGAGTGTAGTGTGTGGGGTGTGAGTGTGGGGTGTGTGTGTGGTGTGTGTGGGTGGGTGGTGTGTGTGTCTGTGTGGGGTGGGTGTGTGTGTCTGTGTGTGTGTGTGTGTGTGTGTGTGTGTGTGTGTGTGTGTGCGTGTGTGTGTGTGTGTGTGTGTGTGTGTGTGTGCGTGCGTTCACTGCTTACTGCTGTGTGTGTGTGCGCTTGGATGGGTTAAATGTAGTGCACAAATTCAGAGTTTGGAACACCACTTGGCCAGTGGGTGTGTGGTGGGTGTGCGTGTGTGTGAGTGGTGTGTGTGTGGTGTGTGTGGGTGTGCGTGCGTGTAGTGTGTGTGTGTGTGATGTGTGTGCGTGCGTGTGGTGTGTGTGTGTGTGGTGTGTGCGTGTGTGAGTGTGGTGTGGTGTGTGTGGGTGTGCGTGCGTGCGTGTGCTTGTGCTGCAGGCTCACATATATCCTATAAATATACTATATCTTCATCTATTCATATAGTTTTTAAACTTGAGAAAAAGTTAGTTTTTTTCCAGAAAGAGCTCCGTCATGATTTTAATAACTAAGCTCATATTTTCTCTGAAAAACACTGACATGGGGAGTTTGTCATTTGTTTTATATAAACCTCTTGAACCTTTAAATATGGTGCTATTCATTTCTATAGCTGTAAATGGTGCTGTTCCTTTTTCTGTGTTCTTAAAGTATTTTTGTGTACCTGATCATTAAAGCATAACGCAAAATAGGGCTCAGTAAAATCAAAGCCTGTGTAGATCTAATGTGAAGCTTTATACAGTGGGTAGTGTTATGTAAAATTCTTTGAAGTGTTTTTTTTTTGACAGAAAATGAAGTTTATGATTACAAGAACAAATCTGACAACGGGCTCAAAAATCTAGGAAAAACAAGTTTTCATTCCCCATTGATACAGCATAAACTCAATTTTCAAGTCATTTTACATTTGCATCGCAAGTAAATTACCTTGATTTAAGAATGTTTAGATATTTCTATCGGGAAACAAAAATACAGAGGAAGATATACATCTTTTTTTTGCAGCCCATGCAACATTTAATGCCGTTACTTTATGAATTTAAGTCTTTCTGCTCTAATTTAACGCCTTATTTGTGGAAGTGAATTAAGGCTTTTTAAGACCCACAAAAACCCTGATTATAAATTACGTTTTTGCTGAACTGCTAAAATTGAAAATTAAGAACATGCATTTTTTTTCTTCAGTTTGTTTGAATCTAACACTGAAACTGATGACCTAAAATGAGCTTTACATATTTTGCACAAAGCTACCTTCTCGTGAAGTGAAAGCAAATGCAAATGTCCTCATAACTGATGTAATTTTTCCAAACTGTACATGTGAAGCTGACCAGACACAATAAAGAGCATCATTTTCCAGTGACAAGATTTTCCATTTATTCGGTTTCATCACAAAAACACGTTCTCTGCCAGCAACAGAACACAAGCCTTCAGAAATAAAAGACGTAACTGGGCCTGGTAAAACTTTAAAGCAAAGAAAAAAAACATTTATAAAAGATAAAATAATTTTACAGCATGCATGAAACATTTACAAGTTTAAAACAATGATGGCGTTCAGTCAAATGCATCAATTCACGTGTGTGCATGCTTTCTGGTTTCACTGTCATGCAAAGGCCATCGCTTTACCCAATCAAGGGGGACGTGGTTGAAGAAATTACAAAAGTACTAATAGATATGCCTTATCGAGATGATATTGCTGTAACGGAAACATGAGAAGTGAAATGAACGGAGCGCGTCATGTGCTGGTGGCTGCGGTGAAGACGGGGCCCGTATAAACGCCGTCTCCAGCCACTTCTCCCATCGCCTGCAGAGCCACCGTCGCTGCCATCGCCTTCGCATGCTTCTTATTGGGACTGGCTGTCTGAGGCTGATAATCACATCCGTTCACCACCACCTGATAAACACACACACATCTGACTGACAGCAAACACATCTGTGCATTCAGCCCCAAATCCATAACGTCAAAACCAATTCTTTAGCATTAACAGATCACAAATGAAGATCAGTCTTATATACTTTCAATTAAGGGATGCATGATGTATTCAAGTCCGTAAGCATGCGCCAAACCTGTAATGGGAAGCATTTATAAAGCAGCTGTAGTCAATAAAAGATCAACTTTAAGTGCTCCCTGTGGTTTTTCACTTATTTTCTATGAAATGCACTCCCCTACAAAATCCCCATAACCACTCTAGAATGATTAATTATTTCCAAATATTCAAGTCATATAGTGAACATTATTTTCGTTTTTTCCATATGGCAGAACAACTAAATATTGTGCAGCTGCAGTTTCAATTATAATATTCCAACATCTACATTCACAATTCATTTGAAACTACTGGTTTTATTTTAGTGTGTTTTACATCCTTTTTAATGACGATATTTAATAGTCCCTCTAAAACTCAGCACTAACCTTGAAGAGGAAGTTCTTGCGGTGGTCTGGTCCGCTGTGGTGCACCATCACAAACTCAGGCTGTGGCCACTTCTTCTTATTGCACATCTCCATCAGAGCAGACACCGGATGCTTCCCTGCACAATTAACATCATATCCACATTCCCATAAACCCGCTGGAGTGGAGACTTGGGTAGGGTTAGGATTGTCAACCCACATTTTTTTTAAATGGAACAGTTTATTGAACATTTAGGCAAATCTAAAAGTCTAAAGAAACAAGTGTTGTTTGCTAGTTTTTGTTTGATCCATCAGGCGTTTATGGCTCATATAATCTGATATAGTGAGAATATGGAGGAAAAACAGCTCAATTTTATTCTGAGACTGAAACTTAGCAAAAATGTGACACTGGAGCACAAAACCAGTCATAAGGGTCCATTTTCTGAAATTGAGATGTATACATCACCTGAAAGCTGAATAAATAATCTTTCCATTGATGTATGGTTTGTTAGGATCTGACAATATTTGGCTGAGATACAACTATTTGAAAATCTGGAATCTGAGGGTGCAAAAAAATCTAAATATTGAGAAAATCATCTTTAAAGTTGTTCAAATGAAGTTCTTAGCAATGCATATTACTAATCAAAAATTAAGTTTTGATATATTTACGGTAGGAAGTTTACAAAATATCTTCATGGAACATGATCTTTACTTAATATCCTAATGATTTTTGGCATAAAAGAAAAATCTATAATTGTGAGCCATACAATGTATTGTTGGCTATTGCTACAAATATCCCCCAGCGACTTAACACTGCTTTTGTGCTGCAGGGTCACATATATGCAAATTGGTGCAGATGCTGATATTTCTATGATAAAATTCTGAAGCATGTTATGTAAATCAGTGAGATGTTTATAACAGTGCAGCAGATACTGACATAAAATGATCTAAATATCAGTCGTCTCTATACCTCCAGTAACATGTCTCAGTGAGATGAGAGTGAAATGCTCCAAACATATAATGCAGTGATTGAGAGCTGAAGAAATAAAGGCTCCTCAGAAGATGTGAGATGTTCTGGAGGCTTGTGAAGATCATTCCTCCGCTGAGGAACAGTGAAAGTAAAGCTTCTGGAAACAAACGCTCCTCAAAAGATCCTGAGGATCAGATTTGAGACTCTAAAACATGATTGATGGAGAATCAAGTAAAGCTGAGCTGCTTCAGTGCAGTAAGTGTTCATCTGGAGATATGACTTGATAAAAATCAGTCAAGATTTGACAGCAGAAACACACGTGAAGCATTTCGCATCAGATGTCTGTTTTTGAAGAGGACTTGCGTATCAAATATAATAATACTGTAGGTTTTAGGGTAAAGGTCACAAAACAGCAGATTTGGATAATCTAGCAACAAACATTGTTCATCCAGAAACACACACGTGTCTTGTGATCAAACACTCACCTAGAAGATCCTTCATCACGACAATGTTGCCAGATTTCTGGGTTTTTTCTCCTTCTGCTACAAGGCCTGTGTGGAGCGAAACATCAGCACTCTGATCTCAGTGATGATAATGTGATTTGATGAGTCCTGCAGGGTCTCTTCTTACCCTTGCGGTCGGTTTTGAAGTCGATGACGATGGGCTCCACCGTTCCTTCCCTGTGCTTCCCCAAACCCTCCCCTGACCTCCATCCCATCTTCCTCATCAGTAACTCCCCCATCCCGCCCGAGACCGGCGCCGCCCGCAGGAACTGGTCCTGAGTGGAACGGGACAGATCCAGACAGAGAGAAAGAAAGAGAGGCAAACCAAGAGAAACGGGAAGCAGTGAGAGAATGGCTCATTCGGTGACGTCAGGTCACTTCAACTGGAGCGGTTTAAATTCATATTAATTAAATAAAATAGCCTTCTGTTTTAACTATTTCAAGAATATGCAAAATGTTTAAATGCAGAGTCCTTTATTTCTCACCTGCTGCAGGTCTAAATGACTAAACAAGTACAAATAGAAATAAATAAATAAATACACAATACCGGCCAAAAGTTTGGAATAGTTACGATATTTTACGTTTTTAAATAAAGTCTCTTCTGCTCACCAAGGCTTCATTTATTTGATCAAAAATGCACTAAAAACAGTAATATTTGTGAAATATTATTACAATTTATAATAGCTGTTTTCTAAGTGAATGTATATTAAACTGTAATGTACGTTTTTAAATAAAGTCTCTTCTGCTCACCAAGGCTTCATTTATTTGATCAAAAATGCACTAAAAACAGTAATATTTGTGAAATATTATTACAATTTAAAACAGCTGTTTTCTATGTGAATATGTGTTAAACTGTAATGTATTTCTGTGATCAAATCTGTATTTTCAGCATCATTTCTCCAGTCTTCAGCGTCACATGATCTTCAGAAATCAGTATAATATTTGCTGCTCGAGAGACATTTCTGATTATCATTGTTAAAAACGTTTTTGCTGCTTAATATCTGTGGAAACACATTTTATGTAAGATTTTTTATTATTATTATTACTTTTATTCAGCAAGGATGCATTAAACTGATCAAAAGCGACAGTAAAAGAGTTCCATTTCAAATAAATGCTGTTCTTTTGAACTTTCAGTTCATCAAAGAATCCAGAAAAATAAAACGCATCACGATTTCCACAAAACTATTCTGTTTTTTAACATCGCTAATAATCAGAAATGTCTCGCGAGCAGCAAATATTATACTGATTTCTGAAGATCATGTGACGCTGAAGACTGGAGTAATGATGCTGAAAATACAGCTGTGCATCACAGAAATACATTACATTTGCTATTTGAAACAGTAATCATATTTCACAATTTTCAATCAAATAAACACAGCCTTGACGAGCAGAAAAAAAAACATCCAACGTAATTCCGATCTTTTGACCGGCAGTGCATATTTTCCATAAGACATAGTAATAAGGTGCGAGCCTTCAGCAGGCGAAGCATGAACACCGTCCTGAACAGATCTCAGGCTCGGAGTCGGTTCAGTGCAAACAAACAGGAGGACAAGGCAGAAATGCATCAGTTCACACACAAATCCACATGAATAGAAGGAAGGGTGCTGGAGGACGTACGTACCTAGGCCCCCATCATCGGCCGAGCATCTGACGTGAATAGAAGGGGCCTGACTCTGACCATGGCAAAGAGGCAGCTACAAGGACTGACCCTGCAACAAGTTTCCATACAGAGGGGTGAGAGTTCACAGGTCAAACTGTGAGCCCCCACCCCTCGTCCATCCGTGTCCCAAACCCACCATCCCGAGCAATGAGCTTGAACCTCGCACCCACTGGATGCCAAATCCCACACATTCGTTTGACTGCAGTTAGTGCATGACCAGGCCCTTTTGACGCGCCAATCACATTTAGACTAAAAACCCGGGACTCAAATGCAACCTTCGGTGTCATCGGAACAGTTTGGATCCCGCTCTCAAGTCAAGAGTGAGCTCCAAACATATCCCAGTCGTATCTAGGCAAAGTTGGCCATTTCCGTAAGACTGCCTGAGCTGTGTTTGGTTGTGTGAACGTTTGGCGTCTCTGTATAGAGATCATGCTATTTTGCTAGCGTTTATTTAGTCGAAGTAAAAACTGGGTCTTACAGGTCTGCGTTACACAGCGGTCAGCATCCAAAGCCTTCAGGACAATACGTCTCTCTGCTAAATTAAAAGGGTCGTGTTTTGTGCACATTTAATAGGTTTAACACATCAAGGCAGTGATTTTACTATAGTTAAGGGTTTTTAGAAGCGTCTAAGAATAACTATAACAACTTCAAGTGATTTATTGCTTTAATAATATGACCGGAACATCTATATTATAAAACACTCATTTTTAATGAATATCTACACTGCTGTTCAATATTTGGGGTCAGTAACTATTACTTTTATTAAGCAAGGGTGCTTTAAATTGATCACAGTTGACCGTAAAGACATTTAGAAAGTTACAAATGTATTCTATTTTCATTTAAAGTTTTAGTAATTTTGTTATAAGCTTTTGTAATTTTTATTATTTCTTTTGCATATTTCAATATAGCTTTATTTTTATTTCAGTTGAAGTAACTTTAGTATGTCAACACTTATTTAGTTCATTTCATATTCGTTTTACATTATTTAGATTCTATTATAGTACTTATGAATATTTTGAATGAGCCTTTATTTTTATATATTTAGTAATTTTGTTATCTGTTTTTGTAATTTTCATTCATTTTTAAAATTGTATATATGTAAATATAAATATCTTTATTCTATTTCAGTAGAACACGGCAAAATAAAAAAAAATAAAAAATTATTCATCTAATATTTATATTTTATATTATTTAAATCTTATTATAGTATTTATGAATATTTTGAATGATCGTTTACTTTTGGTTTTCATTATAATGTTTTGTAAAATATTAGTAATTTTGCTATCTTCTTTTGTCATTTTTAAATATTTCTATATATATCTTTATTCTATTTCAGTTTTAGAAAAACTGTCAAGGCAATATTTAAAAACAAATTAATCTAATATTAATATTTTATATTATTACAGTATTTATGAATATTTTGAATGATCGTTTACTTTTGGTTTTCATTATAATGTTTTGTAAAATTTTAGTAATTGTGCTATCTGCTTTTGTCATTTTTATTTGTTTTTTAATATTTCTATATAACTTTTTTATTTCAATTTTAGAATTGTTTTACAAACAAGACTTTTCAAATAAATTATGCTCTTTTCAACTTTCTATTCAGCAAATAATATGTAAAAAAATTAAATAAAATGTATCAAGTTTCGACAAAAATATAAAAACTGTTTTCAACATTGATAATAATCAGAAATGTTTCTTAAGCAGCATATTATACTGATTTCTGAAGATCATGTGACACTGAAGACTGGAGTAATGATGCTGAAAATACAGCTGCGCATCACAGAAATACATTACAGTTTACTGTAGATTCACATAAAAAAACAGCTATTTGAAATTTAAATAATATTTTAATTTTTACTGTATTTTTGATCAAATAAATGCAGCCTCGGTGAGCAGAAGACACTTCTTTCAAAAACTAAAAATCTTACTGACCCCATATTTTTAAACAATAGTGTACAAGATTAATACATATCATTAATCTAACTGTAAACGTGTGGTCACAGGTGTGCATACACTGGCTCATCCAATCAGATTTCGGATCCTGATGCGCATGTCTCTCCTCATTGGTCAATCAGAGGAGGGAGCAGAGAGACATCCTCTTCCTTCCTCCCCTCTCTCAAAAGACACTTTTAGAGGAGTACAGTGAGTTGCGTTGCCCATCCATCATTGCATCTGCCACGACAGAATTTCAGATATAAAACATCTGCATGACCGTGCACAAGTGGTGTACCTGTTCAACCGTTACCGCGCCCAACGGTTTCATCAGAGAGACTCAAAACAGGGCGATCGGGTCAAATATTTGCTCGTTTATTTGCCGTTTCTCTTTCTTTCAGCTGACGTCAGTAGTGGCAAGACCGTTTCCAAGGATACCCTTCAGTGCAAAATAAATGCTTATTTCATGAAAAGCAGACAATCATTGTGCGATCAACGACTCGGATGGGTACACCAATTGGCAAAGCAATCACAGATGACAGTTCATATGACTTTATAAGAGAGAATGATGGGCGTTTCAGGATCCGTTTTACCCTCCATGTGTGACGCGAGCGCATGTCAGAAGAGTGTAAATCTCAATTAAGCACAATAAGTCAAAAGGGTCTGACTGTACTATGCCGACTTGCACGAGGAAATGATGTCTACTTTGATTCTTGGGAATTTAACACACAAATATGATGCAAAACACAAACCGTCAAGCACAATATATGTCCAACATCATAGTACGAGTGGTGCCGTCGATTAATGGCTGTACCTTCTTAATCCAGGCCTGCGGGCCGCTGTTAGAGAGCTCATCGGACGAGAGCACTTGAGCGCCGGTGGAGCCTGTGAAGAGGCCGGGGATCGTGTTGGACTGGGCCCATGCATCGACCTGTGAACCACAATTAATACATTTTCAAAAACTGATAACTCCATTTTTATAGATTTTTTTTAATGAAATCACGTTTTTTTATTGCGCATTCCAAGTAATATCAATCAAACTGCAGTTGTGTTTAGGGTTCAGATCGCGCTATATGTGGAGAATAGTGCATCAAAGCTAATTTTTATTTAAAGTGGCGTTTATCGGTTTTTGCAAATTAACGGTTCAAATATAAAACCACAAAACATGGAAACAAAGTCTCAAACCTAGGCTGAATTTGTGCAGTTCACATTTTCTGCGCTGATTGTGATGGAAGTCTTTGAAAATGTGTTTAATGGCGCTGAGGGCACTGCACTCCAGTGTTATTTTAGTATTATTCATATACTTTTACAGTATTTATTAATACTTTTTAAATGAGGTTTTAGTTTTATATTTTCCATTTTCTTATGTTTTAGTAATTTTGTTTTGTGCTTTTGCTATTTGTTTATTCTTTTTATTTTATATTTCTATATGGCTTTATTTAGATTTCATTTTAGTGCATCAACACTTATTTAGTTCATCTAATATTTGTATATGATATATGATACTCATGAATATTTTTGAATGCCTTTATTTTTATATTTTCAGTTATCATTTTAATTTTAGGTTAAGTTTTAGTCATTTAGTTTAATTGTAGTTTTTTTTAAACATTTCTATATATATATTTATTTATATTTCAGTTTTAGTATTTTTTTATAAGCTGCTTTGAATAAGTGTAAATGTAAATATAGTACTTCAACAATCATATTTAATCAAGGCAACATTTCTAATATTTAACTTAAGGTTTTCATCTAATATTAACAATTTATATTATATTTATGAATATTTTGAAAAAGCCTTTATTTTTATAGTTTCATTTTAATTTTAGGTTAAGTTTTAGTCATTTAGTTTAGTTGTAGTTTTTTTTAAACATTTCTATATATCTTTATTTAGATTTCAGTTTTAGTCATTTTTATAAGCCGCTTTGGATAAGTGTAAATATAGTACTTCAACAATCATATTTCGTTTAGTCAAGGCAACATTTCTAATATGTAATATAAGGTTTTCATCTAATATTTACATTTTATATGATTTAAATATTATATTTATGAATATTTTGAAAAAGCCTTTATTTTTTTTTATATTTTTCTGCCCAGTAGTAGAATAAAATTCAACACATAAGCTTCTCAAACCCAGTGTCCTAGAGCCGAAACGTACTTGCTCCTGAGCCCGATTCAGCATACACATGGCACTGATGTCGAAAGGGTTTTCCGCCAGCCTCTTCTGTGCGACCGCTCTCTCACTGACGGCCAAAGTGATGTCCACAGGCTAGAAACCAGAGACAAGAGCTTGGCCAAGCTGAACAAAATGCTTATTTGAGACCAATCTGAAGCATTTCAGAAGCTGAACACTTACCTGAGAAGGTGCTTCAGGAAAGACGCTATCGTTGTCCTTGCTGGCTTCCTCAGTCCCAGAAGAACTCGATGCAGATGGCTTTTCTATTTTCTTTTCGACCGGCACCCATTCTCCATACGCTCCATCAGCCTCCTTCTTCCTGTGCTGGGAGCCGGAGGACACCGGGAACTCCTTAGCAAAGACCGCTTCGGTTCGGACCGCCGGCTTTATGGAGGAGCTCTGAAGGAAAAGAGGCCATATGGGAAACAAAGTAGGGACACAGCAATATTACAATTCTGGCCAATATGGTTTAATAAAATTAAACAATTTAATCATTTTAATCAAAGACGTTTAACAGTGTTTTTAAAATATTAATTTAGATTAGCAAAGAGAAGTTGTGTGTATATATATTTTATATTTAAAAAAATTAATAATATTTATATATTTAATATGTAAACATAACACATTTTTCTTAAATATATACATGCATGTGTTTGCATTTATATATACATAATAAATAAACAGTACACACTCATATATTATGTAAACAAATGTTTTTATTTTGGATGCAGTTAATCGCTTGACAGCACTAATATATATATATATATAAAACAGCATACACAATCAAATGTCCAATATCAACCAATACTGATAAAACACAAACTAAATCACTACAACTGAATTCAGGCATCACAGCATAATATACAGTATGCAAAAATATTATTTTTATAATCTGCTGGTGTTATAAGAGTTATTAAAGATTTACTTTGAAAGAGCATCAGATGATGGCAAAGGAATTCTAAACGCAAGCACAATTAAATATCCAATATCGACCAATAACGATACATTTTTAAAAATCAGAGAAAAAATTAAATGTTAAATCTGAACCATTCAAAATCTATACATTGTCTAAATAAATAAAACACAAAATTTCCAACTAAAATAATAATAGACAAAAAGAGCCCACCCCAACAAGCTGCATAAATTGACAAAATTCATGTCTACAGAAATATATTACAATTCTATACCATTTTGTCTAAATAGATAAAAGATAAAACAAACAAAATGCAAATGCAATTTTTTGTGGGGGTTTTTATTTGTGAATATTTGGTGAAATTAAATGGTTTTAAATGCTACAAGTTAATTTAGGCATCACAGCATATATAATTCGCAGTACAAAAAAAAACATATAATAGATAAAAACAGCAAGCTGCATAATTCAATGTAAAATTCATGTTTATAACAAACAGCTTATGCCAAGATGTAACAAGATTAAAGCAAACCCCTAAACTCAAGTACGAAGAAGTCAAGTCAAGTCACTTACACCGAGACTGAACGCGATGCCCTTATTCTCCTTAAGCGAAGCTCCGGATAGCTTTTCATCCTCTTCATCGTCCGACACGTGTGGTTTTGCGATGGCCATCTCTTCCTTACTCTCTGCGATCTTCTTGCATCTCTGAAGGATTAAATAAAGTGTGGATTCAACGCAGATGAAGAAACACCAAAGTGCGAGAACATGCACAACCCTTACCTCGGTTAGCTCTTTAATGCTGAAGCTGTTCGCCTGTTTCGTTACTTTCTTTTTGGCTTCTTCAATACTGGCGAGATTGGGTGTGGCTGAAGATGGCGGCTTGTTGACGATTGTCGGTAACGGGGCCAGCTGTGGCAAGGAAGCCAAAGCACCCATGCTGGACAAAGCAGCGGTCATGGTGGCGGCAGTCATACTAGCCATAGCAGCGTTCATTGTCATGCTTGACATCACTGGCAATGCTAAAGACAAGGATGTGGGATTTGGGGTTTGCAAGGGCAACTGAAAAATAGATCTGGGCCTGAGACTCTCTGGGATCGGCACGCCGGCCTTGGCACACATAGCCGCAGCATTAGCCTTAGCTATTTCCAGCAGCTGCCCCTTATCTGAGAAAAGAAAGGAGAAAAAAAAACAAGATTAAGAGAAGACCAATGCCATAATACAGTACAGTTCAAAAAATTTAATAATTTATGGAACGTTTTTTTTGAAAGAAGTGTCTTCTGCTCACCAAGGCTGCTTTTATATGCAGTAAAAATTGAAATATTATTACAATTTAAATAAACTCTTTTCTATGTGAATATATAATCAAATGCAATTTATTCTTGCGAGTTTTCTGCATCATTACTCCAGTCTTCAGTGCCACATGATCCTTCAGAAATCATTATATTTTCAGGATTTTTTGATGAATAGAGTTCAAAACAACAGCATTTATTTGGAATAGAAATATTTTATAAATGTATTTACTGTCCCTTTTTTATCAATTCAATGCATGCTAATTTAATGCAGTTAAAGTATTCATTTTTATTATTTTTTGTTTTGTTTTTAAATTTTTACTAAGCAGCAAAACATTGATAATAATGTTTTCAACACTGAAAATAATAAGAAATGTTTTAAGAGCTGAAAATCAGCATATTACCTTTTTACGAAATAAATATTTATCAAAAGTGACAGTACAGACATTTATAATATTAAAAAAAGATTTATATTACAAATAAATGCTGTTCTTTTGAACGTTCTATTCAAAGAATCCTGAAAAATAAAATGTATGATAGTTTCCACAAAAATATTGTGCAGCACAACTGTTTTCAACATTGATAATAATCAGAAATGTTTCTTGAGCAGCAAATCAGCATATTATACTGATTTCTGAAGATCATGTGACACTGAAGACTGGCGTAATGATGCTGAAAATACAGCTGCGCATCACAGAAATAAATTACATGTTATTCACATAGAAAACAGTTATTTTGACAGTAATAATATTTCACAATTTCAATGCTTTTACTGATTGGTGAGCAGAAGAGAAATCTTTCTAAAAAACGATCACAATTATTCCAAACTTTTGACCTGTAGTGTAAAAGCAAAGAAAAGAACATCGAAGTTTCTTCATACCAAGTTCCGTAAGACGTGGAGGCGTCTTGCTGCTGCTGCGTTGAGTTCTGGACGCTGATCTCTTCTTACGGAGAATGAGGACCGGAGATCGACTGGGTTCCCGTTTCCATCGGTCCCGCTGGTTTAGCGACCGGCTTCCGAAACCTCTTCTCCAGCGCGAGCCGGATCGCGATCTCCTCCTCGAACACGAGCGTGACCTCTTTCTCGATTTCGACCGTCTGCTTCTGTCCGGAGTTCGAGATTTCCTCCGACGGCCGTGCGAACGAGATCTCGACCTTTTCTTCTTAGGCGACCTCGATTTCGAGCGTTTGCTCCTCGTTCGAGACTTGTGCGATTTCCTTTCAGAGGGCGATCGAGACTTCCGTGAAGACGACCTGGATTTTCTCTTTTTCGATGGCGACTTTGATCCGGGTTTGGATCTCGAGGATATTTTGTGACTGGGAGATTTGGATGGCGATGCGGAGTTAGTCTCGGCTGAAGTTAAAGTTGGATTTGGATTGGATTCTTTCGTCTCAGGGTTGTCAGCACACTGTGAATCTTTTGGCGCAGCGGTTGAGAACGTCGAAGGTTCTTCAGATACATCGGTCACTTCCAAAGGCACCTCGGGTGTAATGCACTTTTGGGAAGACTTGGACAGCTCTGCCAAGAAAGGAACTGGTCGCCAAGATCCTTTAAAGCCAACTGCGTTGAAACCAGGATTCGAGATGTCGGATGCCGTTTCAGACGGCTTGGTGTCAGAGTTCACAGCCACTGTTGGACTTTTTCTATTCTCAGTTGTGTCTTGAGACACATCTGTTTGCATTTCAGAACTTTCAGTTTTGTCCACTGGATCCGATTCAGTTTCCGGTTTCAACTCGGACCTCGACTTCGAAACGGACCTTGACTTCGAAGGTTTCGTTCTGCTTCGAGACTTACTCCTAGAACGGCATCTATGCCTTGGCGAGCGAGACCCAGATTTTGATGTAGACCTTCTGTTCCTCTTTAAGATTACAACAGACCTTGATCTAGTTCGCCTGGATCTTGAACGCTCGCCTCTTCTGACAGAACGAGACCTGGACCGACTGTTACGTCTCTTAGACCTCGATCTACTTCTCTCTCTCCGTTGATGAGACCTCTTTTTGGAGCTATTTCTAGAGCGGGAGGTTGACTTTGATCGCCGTTGTCGTTTTGGGGATCTGGATCTGCTTCGTCTTCCTCTGGAGCTCTCCTTACTTTTAGATGTCCTGCTAGAACTTCTTTTCTTCTCCTTGGGCCTTTCATTTTCTGTGCTTTTGTGGACCGAATTCTCCGTCTTGGGAATAATGTCAGGCAACTCCCGAGGCTTACCAACACCACTTGAGACTTTGAGCTCGGACTTTGACGTCTGACCTGCTGAAGAGGACTTTGTATTTTCACTTGAAGGTTTCGTTTCGGACTCAGAACCAGATGCTGAAGAGCTTTCGGATCGAGAGCCAGATCTTTTCACTTTGTCTGCATCTTTGCTTTTTTTCTTTTTCTTTCTTTTCTTTTTCTTTCCACTTTAAACATAAGCATGGGGGTAAAAACAGCAAATTAGAAAGAAAGATATTGTGAACAACCACGGAGTCCAAATAAAATACAATTCTGACCCACTGAGATTAATCACTTTCCTTTTTTATTCATTTGAAAGACCCCCAATTTTTTTTTTTAACATTCGACTGGTGCCTGATCCAATGGTATAAATGATCAAAAGTTAAAGTCCCCCTGTAGTGAAAATCAAGTTTTTTTATGTTGTTTATTTGTCTATGTGGTGTTTTTAATATGCTTTTAGACAAACCATGTGCCAATCTATTAATCAACACCATTGCTGTGTATTTTCTCTTTAAAAGAGTAGTTTCCCAAAGGCTGACCCAGAAATGCAGTTTGCTACGTCACAAACCAATAACCAATCACGTCAAGGGATCGATTCCTATCACTAGCATGCAACATATACCAATACCAGCACAAAACCAAAAATAAATCAGAGCAAAAAACCCATGAAGCTGTGGTTTAATGTGAATTTAGAACCGCTAACTTGCATTATAACCTGTGGCAACAGTGTAAAAGTAGCCCAGAGCACTTCACACGCGTATGCTCGCGGGCACGAATTAACCATCACAAATGGCTGCATTCGAGTCTTCAAGGCATTTTAGGACGCAACATCGTCAAGCGAGTAATTTTAACGAATGTTACAGTATTCACTGTAGTTGTCCGCCAATAAAAACATAGTTTTATCAGTCATTATCGGTGTATGCCATTGTTTTGCGTTTACTACAGTTCAGTGGATCAGGAGGCGCGTGGAGGTGACTGAGTGGAGGCGGGGCTAATTAGCATATTCATAGATCCATGTATAGTAAATGAGGCAAGGGTGTAGAGTTACATTCAAGCTATTTTAAGCCATGAGAAATTTATTTTCACAAGAAAAAACCTTTAAATATGTAATTTTGATGATCAAAGATACGTTTTAAGGGATAAAATATTTGACTACAGGGGGACTTTAAGAATAAAGACTTTTTATCCAATAAACTTTTGACTCTACACTTCTAAAACACAAAGTAGCGTCAATTCAATGTGGTTATACCAACATTATTTGTCGTTCGTAAGCACAAAGAACTGCATCGCACCTTTCTTGAGTCTCTTTGTCGGACTCGGTGCCTGAGCTGCTGTCTTTTCCTTCTTTGCGCTTCTTTTTCTTCTTTTTGCTTTTGTGTTTTTTGTGCTTTTTACTCTTCCGGTGTTTAGTGCTGGTGTCCTCTTTATCGTGGTTGTCTTGGAGGTCAGTGTGCGTGACTTCATCTGAAGACAAAGACTTATTAATGGCAGAATACAGGTCAGAAAACACACAGACAATATTAGAATTGAGGACTAACCTGTTGGGGTGTTCATTTTTTCTTCCTCGAGTCCATCTTCTCTCGTCTCCGTCACAGGTTCAGGCTGCGGCTCATCTGTCACACTGAATGACAAAAAAACATTGTATTAGTCACTTTAAAACATGATTTTGTGATTCATATCATGTGTCAAAAACCTCAGTTTACCATGGTACCACCATAGTATTCTTTGACGTACACTCCAGTAACATGTAATTGCCAAAATACACCTGTAAGGCACTAATATAGCAGCATAGTATATGTCAAAGTATAATATTACCATCTTTCTCTCACTGTACTGTATTTTCTGCATAGCAACTAGCACATGGCAACAAACACTGACAGCTAACGCAAAAAAAATACATAATTCAGTCACAACATAATCGTTAAACGCTGTGTTTTATTGCAGTGCAGTAACGTTAGAGTTTGTATTCATTGACCATTAGCGCTAATGTTTGGCTAACCGGCTAGAACAAATACAACTACAGCGATACACCGCCATCTTGCGTAAGAGATCGGGGATTTTACCTGTTTTCTTCAGTTTCATCTGCGATTTCTTTAATCTTATTCATTACAAAATCCCTGAAAATCTGCTCGATGTTGGTCGCCATCACAGTAGAAGTGTTGTTGGGTCCACCAGTATCCCAGAATGCCTCAGTAACAGCTTCTTCTTCCGGTCACCACAGCGGCGCGAAAATAAATATAGGCGCGAACATAGATATAAGGCGGCAAATTCGAATTTTGAACCGTTAACCGACTAATAACAGATATAACTTTTAGCCGCTTTGTGTTTCTTGTTTCCTATTAAACATAATTTAATAATACTGGATATAATCGAGGGATCGACATCACGCGATTAACGCTCAAGTAAGCATTGAAACATACTAATAATAATGAAAAACTATTATTATTTATGCTAAATCAATGTGGATATGTTTTTATCTTATACGTAGTGCCACGTTACCTCAGTTTTGATGTTCGATTAACCCTCTAAAGGTGATATTGTTTTTATATGGCCAAAAAGTAAGATGAAATTCTGGTAAATCATAATCGAGTAAATCTAGTAAGTGTTTTTTTGTCCGGTAAGTGTTCATCTTGTAATATTACTAACAATGGAACAATTAGTCTTACGTTTAAAAATCAGTACACATTTGACAGCAAATAGACACGTGAAGCACAAGCTTAAGGTAAGTGTTTGTACAATTATACTAAAAGACTTTTGACTTTGTCTAAACTATCAGTGCGCAACACAGTAAAGTTTTGATCATGTTGATCATTTAGAGGCCTTGGAAATTCATATATCAGATATGATAAGGCTTTGTAGGGTTAAAAAAAAAGCTAGAATCAATCAACGTCTCTTGGTTGCAGTGCACTGACGGCTTTCTGATCATAATGGGATTGTTTATCAAGTCATGTTTTGATGTTCGATTAACCCTCTAAAGGTGATATTGTTTTTATATGGCCAAAAAGTAAGATGAAATTCTGGTAAATCATAATCGAGTAAATCTAGTAAGTGTTTTTTTGTCCGGTAAGTGTTCATCTTGTAATATTACTAACAATGGAACAATTAGTCTTACAAATCTAAAAATCAGTACACATTTGACAGCAAATAGACACGTGAAGCACAAGCTTAAGGTAAGTGTTTGTACAATTATACTAAAAGACTTTTGACTTTGTCTAAACTATCAGTGCGCAACACAGTAAAGTTTTGATCATGTTGATCATTTAGAGGCCTTGGAAATTCATATATCAGATATGATAAGGCTTTGTAGGGTTAAAAAAAAAGCTAGAATCAATCAACGTCTCTTGGTTGCAGTGCACTGACGGCTTTCTGATCATAATGGGATTGTTTATCAAGTCATGAAGACAAGTTGTTGACCGAGAGGTCTGCGGTAAATTATCATATACCGTATTGACCCGAATATAAGACGATGTTTTTTTCTTGGAAATACGTCTGAAAAAACGCGGTCGTCTTATATTCAGGCTCTAGACTTTGACATGTCAATAATACACCCACAACAATAGGTGGCGCCAAATACGCATAAAACGAGTGTGCCGTGAAATACGTAATGTAATGTTGTAAAGATCGCGAGTAAAAACAAGAAAAAGAAAAGCTTACAGCTGCATGAGTCGTGAGTGATGGCACCAAACTGTTTTTTTCTTGGAAATACGTCTGAAAAAACGCGGTCGTCTTATATTCAGGCTCTAGACTTTGACATGTCAATAATACACCCACAACAATAGGTGGCGCCAAATACGCATAAAACGAGTGTGCCGTGAAATATGTAATGTAACGCGTGTTGTAAAGATCGAGAGTAAAAACAAGAAAAAGAAAAGCTTACAGCTGCATGAGTCGTGAGTGATGGGACCAAACTCTTTGTGATTTTAAAACGTAAGACAGTACCCAGATTTGAAGACTACAGTAAGATTTAACTTCTACTGTTAATAAGATTGTGGTAGGCTACTATTAGACGGATAGCCTAAATGTCCTGATTCAGATGGGCTACCTGTTTTTTTTTTTAAGTGTATATTTTTTTAATGTGATTATTGGTGCATTTGACCGGTTTTTACCGTACTTTCAAAACAATTTAAATAGGAAAAATATGCAATATGAAAATATTTGAAGACAAAATGTGTTTTACTGAGGAAAAAACAGATTTGGTTTTTAAAAAGCCTTTTTCCAAAAGCTACATCTGGAAAAAGGGGGTCGTCTTATATTCGGGCCAATACGGTAATATAACAGTTTGAACGTTGACGTCTTATCTGCAGGCTGCATAGCAACAGTTGTCTTATCCAAACAACTCTTACAAGACACATAAATAACAAGGGATATGTCTCGTAGGTCACTAATGATAAACATGTAAAGCATCAATTTAACAAGCCAAAAATATGATTTTGTTTATGCATTTATTTTGCAGATATTACGTGTGAGGTCATTACAAATATTGCATGAAACTCTGAATACAACAGTAAAGTCAACTAGATGTTCTGAGATGGTCTTCATGCAGTCATCGTACCGAACACAGCCAAACGTTGTCCATCAGGTCTCATCTGGAAAAAAATTACCAAAAAAAATCACTTTGCTTTCAGTATTTCAATCATTTTTGGCTTTTGGCGCGATATAGCATTGACTGACCTTCAGTTATATTTTAGAAGCATTGCACAACTTAATAAGAGCTTAAAGTTCAAACATGTTCCAAATGATGATGACAATGAATAGTTATGTAACTTAATGGCACCATATTAGCCAACAAAGATAATGTTCATTGATAAGGAAAAGCTCACCAATTCTAAACACGGTGACTTTCATACACGTTCTAAGCACTGTGCTGGGGTCTAACAAAGGCATGCATCCTGAGCTTCTGCAGGGTGTGTGGCTGGTACTCAGTGCCTTGTCTGAACTCATCCACTGGAAAACACATGAAAACACAGTATTTTAAAGATAGTTCACACAAACAATGACATTTCTTCAATGCTTGAATTGAAAGTTCTTCTTAACTTTGTGTTGCACAGAAGAAACAAAATGGTAATATATAAAATGCACTCTTAAAAATAAGGTGGCATTGATGGTTCCATGGAGAACATCCATGGAATCTTTCCATTGCACAAAAGGTTCTTTAGATTAAAAATTTAGATTTAGTTCTTCATACTAAGAAAAATAAAAGGTTATATTTGAGTAATGTTCACTAAAAACTCAAAATGGCTCTTCATTGCGGCGAAAACCTCTTATTTTTAAACGTGTAGTAAGAAATGATGACAGCATTTTAAATTTTGAGGAAAAATCACTACAATATTCCGAAGTGCAAAATTACAACTCCTTTGATTCTATTCGCCGCCTTTGCTCCAAGCGGGATTTAGAGCAGTGTTTCCGGCATGGGAGTTGGGCGCTAACATAGAACCTAAAGACCACAGTCTCTAGCGTCATTCGGTAGCACGCCTCTTGAGATCAAGGGGGTGAGGATTACCTGCACAGCTCTTATCAGCTGACCTCTGTTGCATAATAACTTGCAAGTCTTAAACCATGGTTGATATCATGTTTTGAAGCACTCACATGGCGCTGTGCTCCTCTGCAGTTCTGTTAAAGCTGGCAGCAGTTGTCCAGTTCTGGAATCCACCAGAGTGGCGTGAGAATTCTGGGTTCCCTTCCTCATCTCATAAGCTGAAAGATTGTAGACTGTGGAGAAAACAAAAAAAAACACTAGTTAAATATGCCCAAAATCTACTAGGTGCATTGACATTTAAAAAATGACTTGCAGACATACAGCCGGAAACTCTTCTGTTCATTTCGCCAACTTCATGCTTGAGCATCCCAGTGTCCATGTCCATCAGGAAGCGTCTGGAAGGTTCTGTTCTTTGCCTCTTCTCAACAGGTGCTGGATTGTAGACTGTGGAGAAAATAACACACAATTGAAGGTACCCAGAATCTACTCTGTTTAATGTCACTGTTATACTAGTGTGTTTGTTCATGCAGTTTTATTTTCAAGTTGATCTTATTTATAAAGAGGTTTTGAAAAAGCAAAGCAGCACTAAAATCTATAATGCAAATTATTTTGCAGACTTACAGCCAGAAACTCTTCTGTTCATTTCGCTGAGTTCCTCCTTGGGCATCCCAGTGTTCGTGTCAATCAGGATGCGTCTGGAAGGTTCTGTTCCCTGCCTGCGGATCTCAACAGGAACTGCTTTGTGGTTCTCCTTATGTTCAGAAGAGTCTTGGCTTCTTGTGTCCTCATGCTCAGAAACCACTTCCCATTTAGCTGCTAATGAAGGTGAAAGAAAACATTAGTCCAGACTGGTAAAAGAAAGCTACATTTCCTGGTAAAAAGACCAGTTAAATTTTTTTTTTTTGGTGTTTTATGTCGGTTAGTACTAGTTTGTCACTTCTGTAGCTGAACAATCAATGGACAATCTCCATTAGAAACTGAGACTTACAGCCCGCTACTCTCCTGTCCATCTCATTCCTGTGTTCTTTGAATAGACCGTCATTCAGGTCCATCAGGAGGTTTCTGGAAGGTTCAGTGTCTTGTTTGTGCAGCGCACTCAATCTGAGCTCCTGTAGGATGTATGGCTGGTACTCAGTGCCTTGTCTGAATTCATCCACTGTAGAGGAAAAAACAGGGAAAAACATAGTATTTAAAAGGATAGTTTACTCAAAAAAGTTAAGTTTCTTCAGTGCTTGAAAGTTCAGCTGAATAGCAATTCTGTTGAACACAAGAAACAAAACCATTTTGTAAAATTTAATATGGTAAGAAATTGACATAATTTACATTTTTGATGAATCCCTATTATATCCAAAAGTGCAAGCAGTGTAGGTATTTTTAAAAATTTTCAAGTCTTAGAACATGGTTGATATCATGTGTTGAAGCACTCACATGGCTCTGTGCTCCTCTGCAGCTCTGTTAGAGCTGGCAGCAGTTGTCCAGTTCTGGAATCCACCAGAATTGCATGAGAATTCTGGGTTCCCTTCCTCATCTCATAAGCTGGAGGATTGTAGACTGTGGAGAAAACAAAAACTGATTAAGTAAGCCCAAAATCTGTTATGTGCATTGATATTTTAAAAAATGGCTTTGCAGACATACAGCCAGAAACTCTTCTGTTCATTTCGCCAACTTCATGCTTGAGCATCCCAGTGTCCATGTCCATCAGGAAGCGTCTGGAAGGTTCTGTTCCCTGCCTCTTCTCAATAGGTGCTGGATTGTAGACTGTGGAGAAAATAGCACACTATTGATGGTATCCATAATCTATTAAATGTCATTGTTATACTTGATTTCTCTTAAGAACAGCTTGAGTGTTTGTCCATGCAATTTTGCATGATCATGTTGACCTTACATATAATAGGTAGAGGTTTTGAAAAAGCAAAGCAGCACTAAAATCTATAATGCAAATTATTTTGCAGACTTACAGCCAGAAACTCTTCTGTTCATTTCGCTGAGTTCCTCCTTGGGCATCCCAGTGTTCGTGTCAATCAGGATGCGTCTGGAAGGTTCTGTTCCCTGCCTGTGGATCTCAACAGGAACTGCTTTGTGGTTCTCCTTATGTTCAGAAGAGTCTTGGCTTCTTATGTCCTCATGCTCAGAAACCACTTCCCATTTAGCTGCTAATGAAGGTGAAAGAAAACATTAGTCCAGACTGGTAAAGGAAAGATACATTTCCTGGTAAAAAGACCAGTTATTTTTTTTTTGTGTGTGTGTTTCATGTCGGTTAGTACTGGTTTGTCACTTCTGTAGCTGAACAATCAATGGACAATCTCCATTAGAAACTGAGACTTACAGCCCGCTACTCTCCTGTCCATCTCATTCCTGTGTTCTTTGAGTAGACCGGCGTTCAGGTCCATCAGGAGGTTTCTGGAAGGTTCAGTGTCTTGTTTGTGCAGCGCACTCAATCTGAGCTCCTGTAGGATGTATGGCTGGTACTCAGTGCCTTGTCTGAACTCATCCACTGTAGAGGAATAAAACAGGGAAAAACATAATATTTAAAAGGATAGTTTACTCAAAAAAGTTAAGTTTCTTCAGTGCTTGAAAGTTCAGCTGAATAGCTATTCTGTTGAACACAAGAAACAAAACCATTTTGGAAAATTTAAGATGGTAAGAAATTATGACATAATTGACATTTTTGACGAATCCCTATTATATCCAAAAGTGCAAGCAGTGTAGGTATTTTTAAAAAATTTCAAGTCTTAGAACATGGTTGATATCATGTTTTGAAGCACTCACATGGCTCTGTGCTCCTCTGCAGCTCTGTTAGAGCTGGCAGCAGTTGTCCAGTTCTGGAATCCACCAGAGTTGCATGAGAATTCTGGGTTCCCTTCCTCATCTCATAAGCTGGAGGATTGTAGACTGTGGAGAAAACAAAAACTGATTAAGTAAGCCCAAAATCTGTTATGTGCATTGATATTTTAAAAAATGGCTTTGCAGACATACAGCCAGAAACTCTTCTGTTCATTTCGCCAACTTCATGCTTGAGCATCCCAGTGTCCATGTCCATCAGGAAGCGTCTGGAAGGTTCTGTTCCCTGCCTCTTCTCAATAGGTGCTGGATTGTAGACTGTGGAGAAAATAGCACACTATTGATGGTATCCATAATCTATTAAATGTCATTGTTATACTTGATTTCTCTTAAGAACAGCTTGAGTGTTTGTCCATGCAATTTTGCATGATCATGTTGACCTTACATATAATATGTAGAGGTTTTGAAAAAGCAAAGCAGCACTAAAATCTATAATGCAAATTATTTTGCAGACTTACAGCCAGAAACTCTTCTGTTCATTTCGCTGAGTTCCTCCTTGGGCATCCCAGTGTTCGTGTCAATCAGGATGCGTCTGGAAGGTTCTGTTCCCTGCCTGCGGATCTCAACAGGAACTGCTTTGTGGTTCTCCTTATGTTCAGAAGAGTCTTGGCTTCTTGTGTCCTCATGCTCAGAAACCACTTCCCATTTAGCTGCTAATGAAGGTGAAAGAAAACATTAGTTCAGCCTGGCAAAGGATTGCTGAGAAAGCCAAATTCCCTGCTAAAAAGACCAATTAGACTTTACTTTGGATGGTTTATGTTGATTAGCACTGGTTTATTGCTACTCTAGCTGGTAGACCAATGGACAATCTCCATGAGAAAGTGAGACTTACAGCCCGCTACTCTCCTGTCCATCTCGTTCCTGTGTTCTTTGAGCAGGCCGGTGTTCTGGTCCATCAGGACATTTCTAGAAGTTTCAGTGCCTTTTCCGTACACTTCGGCAGGGATTGCTCTCTGCTCGTGTTTTTCGCTCTGAGCACTGTACTGCGATCTCATCATGGGACGCATTCTGAGCTCTTGCAGGGTGTGCAGCTTGTTCTCAGTGCCTTGTCTGAACTCATCCACTGTAGAGGAAACACCACAACAAATGCAGACATCAATGTGCAATTGGCAGGTAATATGGAAATTTCTTTCAAATTCTTTCAAGTTATTTCTTCATTAGAAGAGTTCCAATATAAGATTAAACAACAGCAATTGGAAACTTTTGCTGAGATTTCATGGTTCCAGGATGTTTCTCTTGAAAAAAAGACTAATATCATGAGTTGCTGAGATCCAAAACTCTAGAGGAGATAGATGTGAGATTATTGGGGTCTTTTTCTCAGGAGAACCATTGATCAATTAACTAAACAAGATCAATTTGAGACTTCTGCTGAAGTCTCCTGAAATGCTTGTCTAGAAAAAAAAGACTAATATCATGTTTTTCTTCTAGATTCTCAAAAATGTTTCAAACTGCTCAGATTTGCCAAAATACCAAAGTTTGCAATCAAAGCCAGAGATCTCAATATGAACTCAAACATTTTTCATCATAATCTTCGAAGTCCTAATGAACTACGCAGTCCACTAATTTACAACTCCATACTTCTTACTGTATGCCAATCGCATCAGTTAGTGTTTTATACTTTCCCACTTTTTAAAGACAGATGGAGATGCTTAAATTGTATTATAAAAGGGGTGAAGTTTTGCTTTATCCAATGAAACTTTGTGGAGACCTTTAGATGGGTTTGCAACAAACCGCTTAAGTTTAAAAACCCTTAGAAGACCCTACACTCTTAAAAATAAAGGTGCTTCAAAAGGTTCTTCAAGCGATGCCATAGAAGAACCATTTTTGGTTCCACAAAGAACCTTTCAGTCAAAGGTTCTTTAAAGAACCGTCTCCTTCTTACCTTTTTATAATCTGAAGAACCTTCTTTCACCACAAATAAGCTTTTGTGAAACAGAAAGGTTCTTCAGATGTTAAAGGTTCTTTATGGAACCATTTAGACAAAAAGGTTCTTAATCTATGGCATTGTGAAGCACCTTTATTTTTAAGAGTGTATTTATGATTACAACTAAGCGTAAGGTGTTATGGTTCAAAATCTATCATGTGCATTGATATTTAAGAAAATGACTTTGCAGACATACATCCTGAAACTCTTCTGTTCATTTCGCCAACTCCACGCTTGAGCATCCCAGTGTTCAGGTCCATCAGGAAGCGTCTGGAAGGTTCTGTTCCCTGTCTGCAGAACTCAGCGGGAACTGGTAATTGCTTCTTGGGTTTCACATCAGTGTTCATGTGCTTCAGAACTGAGCTATCCCTGTGTTCACCTTGGACCATTTGTGGCCCAATTTGTTTTAATTTACCATTTGGGAATCGGTGCAGTGGTCTTGCATGGAGACCTGCAAACACATCATGAACATCAAACCTGCAGCTTATTTCTTATACATTAAACATGCCAAATGCCCTTTCATATAATCTCACTTAACCTAAAAGCACACCTCTAGTTCACAAGCCATAAAAACTGATTTACGACTAGTCTCTATCTCAGTTGTTGAACAGCTAATCACATATTTTATCAAGCAGATAAAATGTGCTTATGTGCCAAAGAAGAAGCAGACGTGGTTCAACCCTGATAAAGATTAAAGTTCAGAAGAACGTTTGTTCCCAAACCTTTACACTAGAACAGTTTTCACAAAATCTACCCTATTGTTATAATACAACTGTGATAAATTTAAAGAGCCATTATAATGTGATAAAAAAAGAAATATTTTAAAACCTTCTTAGACTGTTCGAAAGTGATTCCATATTATGATTTATTATAAAACTATTATTTTAGAAAAGTAATAAACTAAAAAAAGTAAGA